GCTCTTAAGGGTTGCAATCCCTTTAGCAGAGCTATATTATTTCTCTTGAACAGGATCGAGCATCCCCATTAGGATGAGAGGTGAGAGGAATTTTTTTCTTGTTTTGAGACTCGAATTTTATGCTCTAACAGATGATTAATTATTCTGTGCGGATGCCGAACACCGTCCATAGATCAACCAGAATACATCATATGACCCCTCTGCTCGATACCGCAGCTCGGTACTATTTAGTACGACGGCTTGGTACCACTGACGTGGCGCATTCTAGTTGGTCTCCGAACGTCGTTCTGCATCCGATCTCCGTACAAAATAATTTCTCCTAACATAGACAATTATCCTCAAAATTGAGTGTACTGTACAAGAGATAATGATTGATACAATAACATGCCTTTAGAGACTTGAGTAGTGATATGAAAATGTTTTGACAAAAGGAAATTCTTCTAAAAATACCAAAAAAAATTGTTTGGTTCCTTGACTTCTCCATTTTTTAATAATTTGCATGTTTATTTTAGCACATCTCTCGTATTTTTATTCTATTTTGTATGGTCATTCAGATGTGTATGTTTCTCCTAAAATTTTGTCGCAAAACTTTGTCATTTTGATTTTTGAGAAAATTTTTGTTTTTGAATGTCTTGATACTGAAATTGTGATCTTTCTATCTTCCATGAGTTTTTGCAATCAAACCAATTGGCAAAAAATTTTAGAATATTTTATGAAGATAGATAACAACAACATATCCATCATCATGAATTTTTTCAAATCAAAACACTAGCTTTTACTAGTGGAGGAAAATCAAGAACTGCATCTTTTTTGAATGGCATTTTGCCTATTACAGAATTCAAGAATTTCATGTGAGTTATCCGCTTATTTAAATTGGCTGAAATATTTTGTATGCCTTTTTCTTGATGTGTAGTTTCTTTACAAAATTTTTTAGAATTTTTTACAAAATTATTATTAGTTCACAATTCCCACACCATAATGTTGCCGTAGAAAAATCCTTTTGAGGCTTCATAAAAGTGAACTTTTTAGCAAGTTTTGCCTTTTGAAATAGAACTCATTTATCTATGTCATTTTCAGGGGTGTCAATTTTAGGTTGCGAGTCGGGTTTGGGTTAAACCCCGAACTGACCCGAACCCAAGTTTTAACAAATGGGCCAGTTTGTTCAACCCGGGTTCAACCCGTTGGGTTTTCGGGTTGACCTGACCTGACACGAATTTACGAGATTTGGCTGAAGAAGCGTGAGCAGAGCTCCCGTCGCTACTTCCAGTTCAACACACACATTTCTTTATTTATTTATTATATAGATGGAACAAATGCTGACTCTATATATTTGTTTTAGAAGTGTGTGTTGCTTTATAGATTTATTTTAGATAAAACGAGTATGACTCTATAGGTTTATTTTAGATAGAGAGAGTGCAACTCTGTAAGTTTTTTAGATTGAGTGAGCATGACTCTATAAGTTCGTTTTAGATGGAGCGAGTGTGACTTCATAAATTTATTTTAGATGGAGCGAGTGTACCATAAGTTTCTTTTAGATAGAACGAGTATGACTTCATAGATTTATTTTAGTTATAGTGAGTGTGACTCCATAAGTTTCTTTTACATAAATACATAATTGTGTAGGAGCATTAAGATATACAATTCTATAATATGGTATAACTATAATATGATTTTTAAATATATAATTAATTTTAATTTTGAGTAAAGTAAACTAATTTAGTATCACCTCTATGACTGAAAATTTAATTATTTCTCTGATAGCAGAAGCTTTCTTAAAATAGGACTAATTACATTTCATTTGGATGTAAAAAATAAATAAATAAATTATTTTGCAAAATAATTTTGTTAGGTATTTTAAATTTGGAGCTCGGCCAAATCAATCCTACAATGAAAAATTGAAAATGCTGAGGGCTCATTTGATTATTTGAATTTAGAAATTACGTTTTATAAAAATGATAAAATTTGTTAAATATGTTATTTGATTTTATATAATTTAGGAACAAAATTGGTTTAAAATTTTACAAATCTTCTCAATTTTTGTCAAGAAAATAATTAGTTATATTTTTGAATTTTAAATTATCATAATCTGTTAACGAGTCAAAAGCTCTCTTTTGTGGCGAAGTCGGTGGATATGTAATTATTATAAATAAAATAAATAAATAAATGTTCTTCTCTGGAAAATGGAAACACGACCGTCGTCAACCCGTTCAACACTCTTTAGTTCTGCCGACATCGATGGTACTATTAAGACTCTTCCTTAATAGTTAAATAGTTATGGTTTTACTTTTTTTGTTGAAAAGTCTATGGTTTTAATACTATCTCTGGTTCTTGCTATTGACTTGACTTTCCTCCACGTTTTAAATTAACTTTTGTTAATATATATATATATATATATATATCATAAAAAAATTATCTTCATCGGGCATGAACCTCGATGCAAAATTAAGTTGGATACTTCCGAAATTAAAATTGGGACCATCTGAACTCTGATTTTGAACTCTCATTTTAGCAAACTTATAGTCGAACTGCTTCAAATTTAGCAAACTTAAATTTGAAGCATATTTAAATTGGGACCATCTGAACTCTGATTTTAGCAAACTTATAGTCGAACTGAGCGTCTCAGAATACGAACCCAACGACACTAAATTCAACACATTTCGAGCCCAAACGGGTCCAAATCAAGGGTTAGAAGCGTTGTTGGAAGGTTTAAACCAAAATTTGGATTACCAAACGGTTTTCAAACATAACGTGCTTATAATCGAATCGAGAGGGTCGACGAGACGAATCCAACGAGCCCAAGATCACCAAAATCTGATATCACTAAGACATTCAAATGTCCATCAAACAGTTCATGATCAAGTGATTGATCAACATCTGTCGTCCATCCAAGCACTCCCTATTTATCCTTGATCTCTCACCTATTTACGGGTCATGCCACTCCAGAAATCTATAACCTCTCATTTCTCTTGAAAGGGGACCCAAGCAAGAAGAGAAGAAGAGAAGGAAGAAACTCCTCCTCGACCACTGCCTGAGTTTTGCCGGACCACCGCCTGTCATCATTGTTCTGTCGGACCATCACTTGAGGTCCTCACCCTCGCCGGACCATCGCCTGAGGCCCTCAGCTTCGCTGGAACACCACCTGAGGCCCTCACCCTCACTGGACCATCACCTGAGGCCCTCATCTTCGCCGGACCACCATCTGAGGCACTCACCCTCGTCGGACCACTGCCTGAGGTCCTCACCTTTGCCAGACCACCACTTGAGACCCTCACCCTCGCCGGACCACCGCCTGAGGCCCTCACCTTCGTCGGACCACCACTTTAGGCCCTCCCATTCGCTGGACCACCACCTAAGGGCCTGAACTCCGCCATACCACCACTTGATGCCCTAAAACTCCACTAGACCATTAACTGATGCCCCAACTTCCAAGTGACGTCGGATTTAATACTAGACTTCAACCATACGGTTGACATTTGTAATATGATCGCCCTCAAGGACAAGTCAGCCCACTGTACTCAACTCAAGTTCTAGTGAAATCTTTTCAACTGGGCTAGGCCCCCGTGGTTTTTCCCTTTTAAGGGTTTTCCACGTAAAAAATCTTGTGTTCTTTATGTGTGAGCTGGATATCCATGCAATGCTAAGGCGTAGAATCACAAATCTATCGTCGTGTATATTCTAGCCCGTATATATATATATATCATTAAAAAATATTTTGATTGGACACGAATCTAGAAGCATATTTAAATTAGAAACCTTCAAAATTAAATTTGGAGCAATATGAACTCTCATTTTAATATACTTATAGTAGAATTGATCAGCTCAACGAGACAAAACCAATGATATAAAAAATTGGTTCACTCCAAGCCTTAATTAGCCCAATCAAGGACCATAAGCATAATTAAAAACTTTAAGATATCGATTGGACAAGCAAATGATATCTCAATATAGCATGCGTATAGTCGAATCAAGTGGCTCGATGAGTGAGTCCAACGAGTTCAATATCCCTAGATTCCTATATCATTTAGGCGCCTAAATGTTGAATAAATAATTTATGATCAATGCAAGCCGTTCGATGGAGTGGTTCGAATTTTCTTCATATTTATGTGGCATGTCACTCTCAATACTTATAAATAACCCCCCCACCTACCGATAAGTGGCCACTATTAAACCTCCACCTAGATGCCATCACCGAACCTACACCCTAATTCACCATAGTTGGACCTTCGCCCGACCACCACCAGCAGACTTTTGCTGGCAATAGTGCTTAGGTGGAGCTTAGGGATTCTTCAAGCCTAAGAGCTCTCTTAAATCTCTAGCCAATGGTCCTCATTCATCTAGGGAGAAAAGATTTATTTATAAATTTTTTGGAGTGTCATGTTCTATAAATATGAAGAAAATTCAGAACAAATTCGAAGCACTCCATCAAACAACTTTTATTGATTCCCTCGATCATAAATCATTTCTTCAACATTTAAGTGTCTTAAAGACTACTAAATTAAGCAATCTTGGCCTCATTGTATTCTTTTCGTCGAGCAACTCGACTCGTCTACAAGAAATCTAAATTTGGAGATCCTTTAGTCACCCAATTAATGTCCTAAAGCTTCCAACTATGCTTCAAACCCTTGATTTATGCTCATCTAGGTTCAAATAAGACCATTTTTTATGCGGCTGGGTTCCTCCCATCCAGATGCTCAATTTGACTATAAGTTTGTAAAAATCAAAGTTTAGATGTCCATGAACTTAATTTTAAATTTTCTAAATCAAATATGTCTCAAAATTCGTATTGACTAAGGATACCAAGTGGTCTTGTAGAGATCACTATATGTGGTATGTTATTAATGTACTTTTGAATTTTGAAGCCAATATTATTCCGAAGTAAAAAATCCCTGAAAAAAAGTCATCGGAATTACCCGCAGTCCAGCAAATTTTTGACCGGTAAGACCAACGGCCAGGCTTCCATAAAAACTTTCAACAAGATTTTTCCAATCATAATTGTGAGCCAAAAAAAGTCTAATTCTCCGATCAATGATTATAACACTTTAATAAATACAACATAACATGATATCAGAGGACATATTTTTTTATAAAAACTACATTAATATCTCCATATCATCAACAGATATATCTTCATATCCATCATAATTTAAGCTCCCATCACCAGATGGTCCAAATCCATCGCCATTACTGCTCTCTTCTCTCTCAAATATTTGTGACGACTGACCAATCAACTTCGCATCAAAATCCATGCCGGATTCCGACGCCACTCTCTGCACAGACCTCGGCGACAAGCTCACCCATTGCATATTAGCCGCTCGATCAGGGAAGTTCAGTCCTTTGGAAGACGGACCGCGAAGAAGAAAGAAGGCGGTGTCGTGAGCCACCGCCGCCGCCTCCGGCGATCTGTAAGTGCCAAGCCAAAGCCGGTCTCTTGATCCCGGCACTCTGATCTCCGACACCCATTTGCCCTGTTTCCTGCACCGAACGCCCTTGTAATTCCTGTCGTCGCCGAGGATGTTACCGTTAGAGCTGCTCATAGTTATTCGACCGTTGCGGATTCTGAGGAGATTTTCTTTGCAGAGAATATATAGAGGGAGGAATATGTGAATTTGTAGAGGTTTGAATGAAGGGTTTGACAAGGGCTAAAAGTCAAGAGCGTCACTGGTCAGCGCTTGGGGGTTGTGTGGGAACGTGTTATCCGGATGATTATAGCTGGGATTTTGAAGATCACGTGGTCAAAATTGAAAAAAAAAAAAAGGGGTCAAAGGGGTTTGTGAGTGACGCAGCTGCTTTGGTCAGCTAATTTGGTCTTAAGAACAATCAAAGATTCAAATTTGATTTGCAATTTTTCTTCAGTTACTAAGCTGACTTTTTTAATAGCAAATTCAGAAGAAAATAGTATTGATACGTCATTATAAAATAATCTTGATCGGGCACGAATCTCAAGGCAAAAATCAAATTGGGAACTTCAAAAATTAAATTCGGGAGCACCTGAACTCCGATTTCAACGAGCTTATAGTCAAACTGAGCGTCTCAAAAATACGAACTCAACGACACTAAATTCGACTCAATCCGAGCCCAAATGAGCCCAAATCAAGGACCCGAAGCGCTGTTGGAAGCTTCATATCACAATTTGAGTTACCAAACGGTCTCCGATTTTGACGAGCTTATACTCGAATCGAGCGGCTCGACGAGACGAATCCAACGAGCCCAAAATCACCAAATTCCTACATCACTAAGGCCCTCAAATGTCCAACGAACGGTGCATGATAGTAGGATTCAATATCGGCCGTCCATTCGACCACTCCCTATTCGCCCATGATCTCGCGCCTATTTACGAGCTATGCCACTCCAGAAAATCTATAAATAAAGCCCTCATTCTTCACAAAGGGGGATCCAAGCAAGAAGGGAAGAGAAGAAGAGAAGATGAGAAAGAAGAGAAGAAGCTACCTCCTCGGACCACCGACGGAACCTCGCCGGACCAGCACGAGAGAGCTCGCCGGGACTACCGCACGGAACCTCGCCGGGACCACCACCGCTGAGCTCCGTACCACCGTCCGAAACCTCCGGACCACCACCGAAGCTCGCTGGACCACCGCCGGACCTCGCCGGACCACCACCTCAAGCCCGGACGTTCCAGGACCCGACATTCTGGCGCCGAACGTTCTACGAAGGCCCGGACGCTCTGCGTCAAGGCCGACATTGTGCCGGAAGAGCCCGACGCTCTACTCAAGGCCCGACATTGACTGCTCAAAAGGCCGACGTTTCTGCCTAAGGCTCAAACGATCTGCTCAAGGGCCCGACATTCTGCTCAAGGCCCGACGTTCTGCCGAATACCCGACGTTCTGCCGAATGCCCAACGTTCTACTCAAGGTCCAACATTCTGCTCAAGACTCTATATTCTCCTCAAGGCCCGACGTTCTGGCCCGACGTTCTAGGCCCGACGCTTGCTCAAGGCCCGACACTCTGCTCAAGGCCCGACATTTTGCTCAAGGCCTGACGTTCTGCTAAAGGCCCGACGCTCTGCTCAAGGCCCGACATTCTGCTCAAGGCCCGACGTTCTGCCAAAGGCCCAATGTTCTGCTTAAGGCCCGAAGTTCTGTTCAAGGGCAGACTACCAACTAACACTCGAACTTCAAGGTGACGTCGGGTCTAACACCAGACTCCTATCGAACAGTTACTAGTTATAATCTGATCTCCCTTGGAGGCGATTCAGCCCTTTGTAACCGACTGCAAATTCTAGTGGAATCATTTTCAACTGGGCTAGGCCCCGTGGTTTTTCCCCCTTTTTAGGGGTTTTCCACATAAAAAATCTTGTGTTCTCTGTGTGTGTGCTGGATCTTCGTACAATGCTAAGACATTAAACTATATATTTCTCTACCGCCGCGAATATTCCAGGACACAACAAGTATTTCTTTTAAAATCCTTATGAAAAGATTAGCGAAAATATTATTTCTTCTAAAATCCTTGTGAAAATTGTATTCTTCTAAAAATAAGAAAATGTATTAGCCAGATTAACTCTAGACATAAAGATTAATATATTATTGTTGCATCCTCGAATATTCGTGGCGGTAGAGAAATATAAAGTTTAACGTCTTAGTTTTGTACGAAGATCCAATACACAATTAGATAAAACAGAGATGATGCAGCTTTCATAAGAGACACTAAAGTTTTTACTTGAAAACCCCTGAGGAGGAAAAATCAAGAGGCATGGTCTAATTTGAATGAATCCACTAGTGTTTGAAGTCAATTACAAATGAGGCCCTTCCTTTGGGGGAAGGCTTTGATTTGATGTAGCAAATATACATCATATAGAGTGCACTACACGGTGGAAATTAGAAGAACAAACAATGATATGTTCGTTTGGTTGGCGAGACCATAGTTGGCGGGCGACAAAGGTCGGAAGGAGCATAGTCGGCTGGCGACAAAGGTCAGAAGGACCATTATATGGCGACGGATGTCCGGAGGACCATAACCGGCTAGCGATGAAGATCAAAAGGACCACAGTCGGCGGACGACGAAGGTTGAAAAGACCGTTGTCTATCGATGGAGGTCTGAAGTATCGTAGTCGGCGAGCGACAAAGGTCAAAAGGACCTTGGTCGGCGGGCGACAAAGATCAAAAGGATTGTAGTCGATAGGCGATGAAGGGAAAAAAATTGTTGTTTGGATACTGAGGTCGGAAAGATAGTAGTCGCGGGCAATGAAGTTCGGAAGAACTGTAGTCGATGAGTGATGAAGGTCAAAAGGACCGTAGTTGGAGGGAGATGGAGGTTGAAAACCCCATTTTCTGGCGGCAGAGGTCGGAAGGACAGTAGTTTGCGAGCGACGAAGGTCAGAAGGACCATAGTCAGTAGGCGACAGAGGTCGAAAAGACTGTTGTCTAATGAAGGAGGTCAGAAGGATCGTAGTTGGTGGGCGACGGAGGTCTGAAAGACCATTGTCTAGCGATGAAGGTCGGAGGGATCATACTTAACAGCCAAGTGAAGGACAAACAATGGTTGGTCACGAGAGGAGTTCCAATGGCGGTTAGGTTGAAGTCCGGAGGCGGTCGGCTGTCGGGTGGAAGTCTGGAAGCTGTTTGCGGCCGGGCAGCGATCCGACGACGATCGGGCTGAAATCTGGCAGGAGTCAGCGGCCGGGCGGTGGTCCGATGATGGCTAAAGTCTGGCTGCTGGGTGGAAGTCCGGTAATGGTCGGCATCTGGGTGATTATCTGACGGTGGTCGACGGCCGGGTGGAAGTCTGATGACGATCGGCCTGAAGTCTGGGCAGTGGTCCGACGACAATCGGGTTGAAGTCTAAGGGCGGTCCGGGGCCGGGCAGTGGTGCTGGAGCTCTTAAGGCTTCAGAGCTCTCTCCAATCTTTAGCCCAGGAGTCATCTTCATGTAGAAAGTGGAGGTCTATTTATAGATTTTCATGAGTGGCACAACCCGTAAATATAGAGAAGATCTGGGGGCAGGTTCGGAGTGCTCCATCAGATGGCTCGTATTGATTCCCCCAATCATAGAGAGTTTTTCACCTGTTTAATTGCCTTAGTAGTGGTGGAATTCAGTGATCTTGTGCTCGTTGGATTTTTCTCGCCGAGCCGCTCGATTTGACTATAAGCATGCCATATTATGATATCATTTTGTCATCCAAATAATGCTTTGATTCTTCCAAATATGGTTCGCGCCCCTGATTTGGACCCATTTGGGCTTGGGTTGGACCGATTTTGGCGTCATTTGGTTCGTCTCTATGAGATGTTCAGTTTGACCATAAGTTTGCTGAAATTGGAATTCAAATGATCCCAAGTTTAATTTTGAAATTTTACAACTTGAATATGCCTTGAGATTCATGCATGATCAAAGCAATTTTTAATGACGTATCAATTATAAAACAATATTTTGTTTGTATTCCTAATAAAATTACCAAATGTAAGTACGTCCCAACGAAAAGTTAGGATCCACCAATTCCAATCAAATATGGTCTACAAACTCAGTTATGATTCTTACAACCCACCTACCCTAATGCAACACAATCATAATTAATTTAGCTTCAAGTAATATCTTAATTTATTAACACAACTACTATTAGATTTAAGATTATTTTATGGAATCTAGCTAAACACTACTTTAGGGCATGAGTTTAAATTAGGGATGCAAGGATGTGCTAGTTGATTTGGATCCTTAGATATCTCATAAGAACCATTTAAACATCAATTTGGAGTACATTAATTCACAGAGAGAGAGAGAGATAGATTGCTTCAATTCCTGAGAAAATCTCACCTCAACATATTAAGAATCATCACAGCTCACCTTAGCTTGTTCGTTGAGAGCTTAGGCTGCCAACTAAGAGGTATTGGGTTCAAGTCTTGAGTATGCGATGTGCGTATGAGTCTGACTTAATTGGCCTAAATGTCCCAAAAAATAGAACAAATTTTAAGAAGAAGCATGACCAAAGTTTAAATTGTGTGAAAGAGCAAAATTTTATAAAAAAATAAAAAGAAACAAACTAGCCAAACTATTCAGCATTTTTCATTGAAAACGACAAATAGATTGGCTAATTCTAAAAAAGTCAAACTAATTGGCTAATTTTGAATACACCAAATAGAATTAGTCAAACTATTTGGTTAGTTCTATTGAAACCCACATTTTCACAAAGCATCATTAGCAATGTCATTAGCTGATTAAAGACACATTAAAAAATTTAAACTAGGTTAACGAGACATTAGCTCTCAGATTAACTAATCGCCCATTTAATGGGCTATTAGTTATTTCACATTCATTAATTAATTGAAAATTGTTTTAATTTTAGTAAATTAAATAATGTTATTTTTTCTTTATTAGTTATTTCAAATTTATTACAGAATTTGCATAATTTTAAAAATGATAATTTGTAAATTTATAAGATACAAGGACACGCTCCTAATATTATTTACTTTAAAAAAACAACCTACCTGATTTAAGTAGTATTTTCTTTAAAAATGCCTAACATAAGTTGATCAATGAACAATTTTAAATTTTATATAAAATATGAATAACTTTATATTTAATATTAAATAAAATAAATAATAAAAAATATTAAAGTCAGGGCCAAACCGCCTGTTTGACAGGCCATTTATCCAATAATGGCCCATTAAGCGGGCGATTAGTTAATCTGAGAGCTTATCATCCGTTAACTTAGTTTTAATTTTTTAATGCATTCTTAATCAACTAATGATATTGCTAATGAGGCTTAATGAAAATGTGGGTATTCAATATATAGAATTAGCCAAATATTTTAACTAATTCTATAAAATTTGGTAGAATTAGTTGAACTATTTGGTATATTCAAAATTAGCAAAATAATTTGACTAATTTTATAGAATTAGTAAAACTATTTGGCTAATTCAATAGAAATCGTCAAATAGTTTGGCCTTTTTAGAATTAACCAAATTATTTGACGTCTTCAATGAAAAACGCCAAATAGTTTAGCTAATTTGATTCTTTTTAAATTTTATAAAATTTTGTTCCTTCACTTAATTTAAAATTTGACCATGTTTATTCCTAAAATTTGCTATAATAGCTATAAATTTTTTATCTGTTAATGAAGCTATCACATAAGTTATCAATGCATGTTATTATTGTTTTTTATTACTTAGCATTTTTCATTTGCAAATGATTACATTATTCAAAATGGATGGAGCCGTTACAGCTGACGTATAGCACTGTGCGCATCTTATCTGTCAAATCCTCAAAAAGGAAACATGCATCGGCCCCCCGCGCTTCCAGGACTTCTAGATCGGTATAACCCTTTCATCTTCAATTATTTCTTCTCCTCACCGTCTTCGATAAAAGCTTTTGCTGCTTTTTGCTAATTTTGTATAGGGTTTATGTCCTTCTCGTTACCAACCTCCTACATTTTCTCTTTTCATTTCCAGAAACGAGAGAGAAAGAAGAGAGAGATGATGATGAAGGGATCCCAACAGGGAGAAGGGATAAGCCAGTATTGAGCTAGAAACACGGGAACAAACCCTCATTCTGAAAATTTCGGCGCAAGGTGGGATTTTGATCCGATTCCGACGATCCTCGATTGGTTTCTGGCTTGGATTTTGAAGAGCTGAGGGTTCTGCTGTTGATTTTTTGAGTAATTGTATCTGCTTGGCCTTCTGTTTAGATTCTGTTTTAGGTCGTCTGCATATTGATTCATAAGTCATTTAATTCTTGCTTCAGGATTTGAGACACATATTCGAAAGGGGGCGATCTCTGATTGAAGTTCTAGGAATTAGAGGTTTTATAAGGTTCAGAAGAATGGTCTTCCGTAAGAAGGCTTGATGAATCTACATATTCAATTAGCAATTTTGATTTTTTACATTGAGAGAAGGGTGGGGCTTTCTAGTTCATATGGGCTGCATTTGTTCTAGAGGGATTGAAACAGATGAGATTGTTGAAGGTATAAAGAAGTGCTCAAGCAGATCCCTCTCACGGCTAGTTACTCCTTTGAGGAAGGATGTTTCAGCTATATTGTTTGATGCTGATGCTGCCACTAGAAGCTGCGGGAGTGGTAAAAGGCCTGCAACAAAATCACAAGAGAATGTGGTTGCTCCCATTCCTGTGCAGACAGATGAAGGAGATAGGGGTTCTTTGGCTCCTGTTGATAGGAATCAGAACTTGGCCGGGCACCATAGGAGGGCTACAGTGGATTTTAGGGTGCATGGGGCAGATACTGATCCGAAGATGGGTGACTTTGGATTGGCTATGGAAAATTTTAGTGTGCCCGATGGGTTCTCTGGTGAGCATGTGGCTGCAGGTTGGCCTGCATGGCTTACGAATGTTGCACCAGAAGCAGTGAATGGCTGGCTCCCTCGCAGAGCTGAGTCGTTTGAGAAATTAGACAAGGTGAAGTTTACAGGTCTAAACTGAGATGGATTTCGTTTTATTATTCTTGCATGATACGCTTCAAGAATCAATTTTGGATTCTATATTACCGTTAGGAAGTCTTTGTTCTTTGCTTTATGATAAGTCTTTTTTCCAATATTGATCCAGTTGTTTTTTTTTATTATTATTTTCTTTTCTTTTCTTACTGTCATAACATTGATCTTGTATTAATTGCAGATTGGACAAGGAACATACAGCAGCGTGTACAAAGCCCGTGACCTTGAGACTGGTAAAATTGTTGCACTCAAGAAAGTGAGGTTTGTTAACATGGATTCTGAAAGTGTCCGTTTCATGGCAAGGGAAATTCAAATTCTGCGGAGACTCAATCATCAAAATATTGTGAAGCTTGAAGCAATAGTTACATCAAGATTGTCATGCAATTTGTATCTTGTATTTGAATATATGGATCATGATCTTGCAGGACTTGTTGCAACACCTGGAATCAAGTTCACCGAGCCGCAGGTAATGTAGTAGAGTGCTTTTACCCTCCTAAGCCTTTTTCTAATGAATTTTTTCACTATTTAACTTATTCACAATTTAGACAAACTATATATGGTTTCCAGGTTAAGTGCTTTATGCAACAATTACTTCGTGGCCTCGAACATTGCCATAAACGCAAAATTTTACATCGCGACATCAAGGGATCTAACCTTCTGGTTGACAGCAATGGAATCCTCAGAATAGCAGACTTTGGCCTGGCTACGATTTTCGATCCTGATCAGAACCAGTCCTTAACAAGTCGTGTGGTGACTCTATGGTACCGGCCTCCTGAGCTTTTGCTTGGTGCTACTGAATATGGTGTTGCTGTTGATTTATGGAGTGCTGGTTGCATCCTTGCAGAATTGCTTGCTGGGAAACCTATCCTGCCAGGAAGAACAGAGGTATTCTCCCTTCAGTTATTTGGTATAGCAATTTGACAAAATAATCACTTTTGACATGGTGCATCATAATCATATTCAATGATCAGGAGAAAATTGCATTTAAAATGATGATTGTATAAATTTTCCATCATATTGATAGAAATCAATATTCTTTCATACATAGAAACTTGTCTTTTATAATAATTTCAAGCAATCCTGTCTTTTTCATTCTGCAAAGCATTCCCCAAGCTGGAGTTGGAGCTGCTTTACTTCTTTAAGGAAGTGCTTTAACAAATGACATTTAGTTTTGGTTTTTGGTGGATATTTCATATAGGTTGAACAACTACATAAAATCTTCAAACTTTGTGGATCCCCACCAGAAGACTTCTGGAAAAAATCTAAGTTGTCGCAGTCTACTATTTTTAAACCTCATCACCCCTACCCTCGGCGTATTGCAGAGACATTCAGGGAGTTTCCTCCTTCAACATTGTCTCTTCTTGATACCCTTCTCGCAATTCAACCAGAGGATCGAGGAACAGCATCTTTGGCTCTGCACAGGGAAGTAAGTTCTTTTATTTGCTTTGTTCTTTCCTTTAGTCCATCTTGTTGCCTCTATACTTATCCTCTTCTTTCTTTAAAGCTATTTAAAAAACTACAATGTACTATAGCTACTGTGATATATGTGCAGGACTATAAATGCACTCGTGTGTGTATTTCTTCTTTTTTAGGGAAAACGTATTTCAAAATTTCAATGTAATCCTTCTATGTAATGGCATTAATGAGCTGTAATCCTCAAGATGATTATAAAGACATCACGTTTTGTTTATGAAATGTCAGTGGAGTGTTATATTTTCACATGATTTTGTCCCTATGAAGGGCAATCTTTAAATCACTAATATTGCAGCTTTATTTCCCAGTTTTTCTCGACTAAACCTCTTGCCTGCGATCCTTCTAGCTTGCCTAAATATCCTCCAAGTAAGGAATATGATGTTAAGCTTCGAGATGTGGAAGCAAGGAGGTACTTTTGCAATGGATTTTTCCATAAATATTGTGAAATGACATTTTCAAAACTTATCAGAAGAGCTATTTCTTTGGCACCTGAAATTCCTAACCTGAAATACAATGTTTGGTAACAGGCAAAAAGCTGCAGCTCTTAAAGGCAAGCCATTTGATTCTGGAAGGAAAGGCCCATTGGATAATAAACCTATGACCGGGCAAGAAGCCAACGGAGACCCAAAGGTAATTTGAAAGAAGAGTTGAAGCAATGGGATTACAATCATTTATATTGATAAGTTCGAGCAGAAGCAGAATTTCTTAAAAAGCTTCTCTTTCTTATAAGTTCATTACTCTTTTTCTTTCTCATTTTGTATTCCAATTGCTGCAGAAGTGGCGTGAGCAATCAAATACCAAAAGTACGAGTGAGAAGTACAGTCCTTTAGAAGAAGTTGGTTCAGGGTTCCCCATTGATCCTCCCAGAGGAGCTCCACATGGCTTGTCTCATTCCAACACTACATTGCACCCCAGTGCATTTGGGAAGAACGATGATATCAGGACGATTCCTAACCAAGCATCTAGTACTATGTGGGCACCCAACGTTCCACGATTACGATCTCAGAGATCATATATGCCTCAGAATAGTGGTGGCATGGACTTTGCCAATTCAAAGAGCAATATGAGCTCCACGTATAATAGGCTTGATGTTGCTGAGTCATCTGAGAAGCAGCATGTACTAGATAGACCTTCTTCTACCTATAGGGGAGATGACAAGGTTGGAGCCAAGGAAGCTGTCATGGTAAGGGCCTATGCCATGAAATTCTCCACTACTAGTTGCACGTGCCCCCCACTCCCCCCCACTACTAGTTGTCATGGCTAAAGCTAAAACTGAAAGCTTAAAGGGGTTTAAAGCTAATTTTTTTAGTGGCTTAACAGAGCAACAAGTTCGCCAACGAAAAAACCTGCTCTAATTTTTATAATTCTTCCTTTTAAAGTTATTTATTAATCCAGAGAAGCCACCAAGATCTTTTTCTAGACACCTGAAATGCATCAATAGTTTGTTTTCCCCTTTGCTCCTCTCTCGTGACTCATGACTCACGACCTTGTTCATGGCTTTCGCTCCTTTCTCTCCCCCAAATGAAGATCGCCACTCTCGCCCCCAAACAAAGACCGATTGTGGTAGATGTTTATGTCTTCTAAGCTATAAGGGCCATGTTATTTTCATTCTTAATTTTGATCTTACAACTCCTATTGGCTCCGGTAATGAGACGGAAAATGGAACTATTTTAATATATTCTGACCTTTCAAATGAAACGACAAATATAACTATTTTAATTTAGTGGCCCCCCTAAAATTTCTAGCTCCACCATTGTCTAGAGTAGTGTATCATTGAAGATTGTTGGACGAAAGTTCTAAAGCTGCTGAATCTCTTGAATGACATTAATTGGAATCTGAGTCTCTTGCCTTTAATAACAATTGAAGATTTTAAAAAACATAGAACAAATTTTTTATTCTTGCAAACCTTATCTATACACTTGTGATTTTTTTTTTTTTTCTGGATTAATGTTTGCTCATATGCTTTAATTCTGCATCTTTACAGAGTTACGGTGGAAAAAACAAAAGAATTCACTACTCAGGGCCATTAATGCCCCCAGGTGGTAACATAGAAGAACTGCTTAAAGAGCATGAGAGGCAAATCCAGCAGGCTGTGCGCAAAGCTCGTTTAGACAAGGTAAAAACAAAGAAAAATTTCTAACAAGAGCCTGAAGATTATCTCCTCCAATGTAAATGTCCCTTTTCCCACAGAATTTACCATTAATATAGCAGTATATTTGCCTCTTCTGTCTAATTTCCGAGATTCTTGGGAAGTTGCTTCTAGTGAATCAGAATCCATCTATGTACTGCTTGCACAGCTAGAGCTACCCATCTGTAAAAGTTTATTTATGCTGCTAAATGCACATTTAGTGTGCAAGTCTGAGTTATATTCTTAGTAGAAAGTTTCATTTGTCAGTTGATTAAAATTTATTGTTTTGTTAACATTGCTGTTTTATTTTCAGTATCTTTCCATGACTGTTTTAGCCTCTTCAATATCTTATTGTCTCTTCCTGCTATGTGAGATTGATATCATTCGATCTAGGTTTCACTTTGCTCATTAGCCAGAAGATGGCATTACTGATATACGTTTTGTGTGCTTAGAACGAATCACTGAAGGTCTGTTTAAACAAAGTCAGAGCACTAGAATTTACCTTCAAAACGCATGGGCCTCAGATAATTCCTTCAAATTCATCAGATTGGCTAAAGAAATCTGTAATTAGGTTAATTCCATCAGATGGGTTGGCTCTTGGCCTTTTGTTAATATTTGGGAATCTGGGGAGCAATTCTTCTACGTCGGGTGGTTAGATTCTAAGGTCATCTCCAACCGAAATTCCTTTTTTTTTCACTCCAAAAATACAGTAAAACTCAAAAATGTCATGATTCATCTCCAATGAAACTACATTTTGCACGCTTCTGCAAACGTAACCGTCTTTATACTCTTTCGCACGTTTCTTTGCCAAATTTTCGGTTGAGACAGAAAAATCACGTGGGTGAACAGTGCAACATCAATATTGGTGTCTCACTGTTCACCAGCAAGCAAATATGGGAAGATTTGACGTTCGCTGGAGCAACCAAACAATGACATGGGCATTCTCCTCTTGTTCTAAATAGATGAGCAATCTTACAATTTGTTATATCCAATATTATTCAATGGAGTCAAATGAGCATTTTTTTAGCTCCCATGTAGCTAATGTGTAGGTGTGCCTTGCACGAGCACTTTGATCCTGTACTTTGGGTGAGCAGTACTAGTTAGGTGCCTCTTTAATTTTGTTGAACTAATAGGATTCTGTGGCTGTCAATTCAGGTTAATAGATTGGGCCAGTCTAACTCGAGAATTAACCCAACACATATAAATCATCCAAACTCAACTCATTAATAAATAGTAATTTGAGCTCAACAAAACTAAGAGTCTATTTGTATAATTTTTTATAAAAATAATTATAAAACTACCATGAAAAAATAACTTTTTTTTAAATTGCCTTAAAAAATAAATCAATAAAAAAATTATCTCAAATGAAGCCTAAATATAAAACCCATCCGACAAAACACGAAAAAAAAAAAAAAAAGTCGAGATGGAATAATATCAACCTAATTCGAAATAGGTATGATTATTTGATTTGAAAATGATAATTTCATAAACATTAAAAATATGTTTAATTTAATACAATTTTTAATTAAAAAATAAATAAATATTTTTTTTTGTTTGCTGTGAGCTGATTAAAAATATTTTTGAAGCACGTAATCTGACTAGAGCTTCCTTTGGAACATTTTTTGGGCTTTTTTTTTTGTTGTTCACATCAAATTTTTGTGCTAGAAATCTACTTTTTACACAATAAAAAAATCATCCCAAACGAAACCTCAAATCCCATCCAAATATAACACAAATTCATCCAAAATCAATACTTTCACGTACGAACAATCCTGAAAAAATAATTTTTTTTATTATATTATTTTGTAGATAATTTGTCTACCGCTATCTATTTTTTGTCTTTATTAAAAGGGTCGAACACCATTGCCCCCTTGGACCCCCGACATATCTATAAAATCTCTATACTTTTAGTTATAAGTTTGCCCCCATAAAAATTAAAGCTGGTTCCGCCCCTACGTACGAACCAAGGTTAATAGTAACACACCCCTACATACAAGTGTGGAGCGTGCACTGAATCGCATCTGCATCAGAACTCAATTCTTAAAAAAAAAATCTGGCAAAAAAAGATGAAAACTTTCAGCAATTAAATCCTTGAAATTAATTTTGGGTTATTTATAAATATTCGATGGAATAAAAAGCTCTAATCCTGCCTAAGCTCATAAAAACAGTAATGTTTGCTGATATATTCCTTACAGCAATACAAAACAGTAGCGGAAAGGCATTTAGTTGACACAATTTAGTGTGTACAATACTCAGTTTGTCTGAATCGATAAAAATGGCGATTCCTTACCATCATAGCATGGCTGAGAGGAGGTAAGATGTGCACGCCTTCCCTCAATAAATTTCTTACAAAATAAATCAAATTTGTCTATCTTTATTGCTTCCCTAATTGAGCGAAAGAACCCCAGATAATGATGAGTGTTGTGGCTGCAAGTATTGACAATTTAGAGCATTGTTTTCATTGTATGTCATGTTTATGAGTTCTGAATGGAAGAAAGTTGGCCTTACATTTCTAGAAGGATTTGAGCTAGCATTTCATGCACATTAAGTAGGTGATTGATGTAGGCTCGAGTGTGATTCTGGCATGTGTAGCAGCTACAGTTGTCGACAAGAGGTGATGTATCTTTTCTGAAGCACACAACATAAGTATAAGAATGAGGCTCAAGTAATTCCTAACAATCTTTAGAAAACAGCGAAAATTCTCCACAAGAATCCACACGAACCGAGAAAACAGTAGAAATTTGTATTATTTGATGAAATAGAAACGGAAAATACCAAGATACAATTGATCCTCTATTCGAGAGGAGGTTCTATCCCTCCCAAATCTCTAAACGCTGCTAGAGCCCAACGGAAAACCTAAATCTATGAGATCTCAAATTTCAGCCAAATTCAAGATGCCCTAAACCCTAAGAAAACAAACTATTTAAGGCATATAATTCAAAAGGAAATCTCTAAACAATCCCTACATTCAATTTCCCTCCTAAACTTCCTTCAAAATCCTTCCTAAATGGTTCTGTAGAAATAGGGCGGTCAGATCCCGCGTAACAGAGGCGGAAGAGTTCCGATCTTCTCCGTGAGCCAGTCCCTTATGGACCGGTCCAATGGACCGGTCTAACACTTTACTGCTACAATCGACCAAAATTTTGGTACAATCTTGGTCAACCACATGTTAGGATGGGCTAGCATGTGCATGCCTGAGCCTTAATGATCTTTACTAAAGGGTGGCTGTAGAATCTAGATCATGCAACCTGAGGTAATGGAGAAGTTTTATGTAAAACTCGTTCTCATTTCTGAAGCAGAACAAAAAGCTGATGCTTAAGGCAATTTCATGGAGTGACTGAACCATATGCAGCTCAAAATGACTCATTACATACAAGGGCAAGTTAAATACCATACTCGAGATATAGGGATGTGAGTGCTGCATGGAGGATTATAAGCAATGGGCTCATAAATCTGTTTGCTGGGCTGGGTGAGGAGCAGTGGATGGGTGGAGTCTAGAATGAAAACTTGCTACTTCCAGTCAATTCTACCGGAGTAGGAGGAATTGGACCAATAGAATAAGTTAAACGGGAAAATCTTGGATTAGAAGCTCTTGACACAGATGTAGCAGGAGAGCTTTAATTTGTCTACACTGTTCCTGATTCCTGAATCAAACTTTTGGATCTAAAAGGTGTAAGTTTGTGTAAGGCTGGGCAAGAGTGTACCTGTACACGGTTGCTCGCAGATTTATCTTTGTGACATCACCAAAATTATGCAATTGAGTACTGAAAATTTCTCCCTCTAGTACGTCAAGTGGGAAGACAAGTGCAAGGCCTCCAAGAGTAAGGTGATAAATATACCTGTTTTTATGTACAAACATTGTAAAAGCAATAGAGATAAGCAATGGAATTCACATGATAAACTTCACAACATACGTTGAATCAAAGAGATCAATACCCGCAGCCACCCCCTGCAAGACCTCCTCTATGGAAGGGTAGGAAAATGCAAATAAATATAAAGTCAGGGTATTATAAATATTTGAAGAAAATTTAAAAGACTTGTACTTTAAAAAGGCACCAAATAGCAATGCAAGTCTCAGACTGGTATAATTATATAACTTTTTCAGGGAACTAGCAAACTCTAATTCCACCATGTTACAAAGAATCACATTATCACAACAATGCTCACACAAAAATAGTCATAGCAAATAATCATAATTTGCAATAAGAGTAGAATATTAATGGAATTATTATTTTACATGCCTAAGGTCTCATTTTTATAACCACAACTCTCTTAAAACTCAAAAGATAGAATCGAGTAGTTCAATTAGTAAAATCCAACAGATTAACATCACTGGAAAAAACATGGCCCGTTTAATAGCCAAAAATCTACGTAACAAATCTAAAAGGAATCACAACTCATATGTAGCATACACAGTACCCAAATAGTAAGGAACTACAATTTTGAGTGCCACTACTACAGTACTCAAATCACAACGTTAGTCATAATTCCTCAGGCCAAAGGTTGGAATAGAGGTCTTGAGTTGACCTCCACATATATCCCACAATCATATAAACTATGTGCAACGAAAGCAGAGTTCGAATGATGCAATCCCACATGCGTAGCAAATTCAAAATGCCTTGAAAGATGGTCAGAATCACTCAAACGTTGTCCAACTCACAAAATAGACCGTGCCAAAGCACTAGGAGTACAAAACTATCAAAAAAGCACCTTCCGCATGAAATGCGATCGAGCGCACACAAAAAATGACAATCTACAACTGCAACATTGCCCAAAATCACTGAACGTCGTTTGTTTGTGAAATGGATTGCACTCTTGTGTTTAGAACGTCAAAAATACTCAAGAGGGATCTCTCGCGATTAAACCAAGCAAATGCGGTCAAAAATGATGAACTACGAACATAATGTCGTGTGAAGTTTCTTCACACTCAAACGACGTGCATTTGCAAAAAAGACTACAAGCAAATGCATCAATTATCCATAAATGACACTTATATTGCTTGAGTGGTCGCACGAATCAAAAAATAAAATTTCCTCGACAAAACTTATGAATATATATATATATATATATATTATAACTTATCCCTACTAAAAATCTCTGCTATCACTGGTCCCACTCAATTACTCTATCATCCACTTGCTCTTTAAAAAAAAATTGATGATATGATTCTAAAACTAAATCCCCTCAACTCTCCCAACCATATCAGACCAATTCACACACAACTCAAGTGTGTGCTCAGCTCCCGTTCCATCTTCTCTCTTTGCACGAACACTGTAATTGATTTTGCATACTTATATTAAAAATTTTAATTTGTCCATCAGTTAGTTGCTGATAAATAATTGAGACTTAAAAGTTTTTAATTGATTTCTCATCTTTTTTCATAAAGTTTTTCATAAATAACTCATGAATTTCATATTTACGTTGGACACAATAATTTTGGGTAAGCCATATAATTGAACTACTTCATTGAAACATAAAAAAATATATTATATAAAAAAATAAATAAATAATAAAGAATTTTATTATATAAAATAAAATGACCAATTTTAAAGAAAAGCTCTACGAAGACAGATAAAAGGGTCGTGTTTCTAATAAGTTTTTCATTGTCCTAAAACAAAATACATGTTAACAACTTTCTAAGGCTAGGAAAATGAGTATAATAAAATGTTTTTTTTTTTCCTTCACACATTAAACAAGTTTTGAATTGTGGCATCTTTTAAACTTGTCTAGTAATATCAAGTGCAAGGCTTTCAAGGGTAATGTGATAAATATACTTTTTTAATGTACAAATGCTGTTAAGGAAACAGGTGAAACACAAATCATGAGTTGACCCCTATAAGCAAAAGCATGCAAAATGAGTCAAAAGCACTTGAAGGGTCAAACGACCTCCGATTGCCAAACGAAGTCGTTGCAATCAGAAAGTCGAATTCGCTTAAGAGAGAACCCCTCGCAGTCAAATCGGACGAGATCGGTCAAAAGATACGACCGTCACCTGAAATTGATGCGTGACGTTGCCCAAACAACGTCCGATCGTAAAATGGATTTCGTTGTTGTGTTCGAAACATCGTCAACACCCAAAAAATGACTGTCAATTTGTTCAATAAAATTGGCGCGGGAAATCGACATGAATCCCGAGGCAACGACACATAAATCGAGGAAATTGATGCGCGATGTCGTCCAAACGACCTCCGATCACAAAACGAAATGCGTCGTCGCAACGGAACGACGGGAGTACCCAAAGTTAGATGAGAAATATACTGGATATTAGAAAGAGACTTATATTTCCAAACAGTTGATTTGTGACTATATGGAAAACCTGGTAATGCTAATCCGGATATCTGGCGTGGCTTCTCCTCAGGTAAGATATCCTGAAACATGCCAAAAACATTATCAACATTCATATAACTTCAAAAGATTAAATCAAAGATTTTAAATTTCACTATGCAAAACAATGAAATGTAGCCCTGACTGACTGAAACCAGCCATAACGAAAATTTACACTTACTAAGGTAAAAAAACGGTAAATTGCACCCTATTTCCACTGTCTTTTACGACTAATGCATTGATGTGGCAAAATAAGCATGCAGATAGCCCATAAAACAGATCAAATAAAAAAGATCATTTTTAACAATTTGAACATTCTGAATTGGACATGTTCTTTCTGCTTTGATGACTGAAGAGTACACACGAATTAAAAAGCTTTATGCAAAGTTTCCCCAACCAAACTTCTACCCCAAAGAGAACTAAACAACACGATCTAGCCTCGTTTTCACCTATTTGTTCTTTGGGCTTTCCATAGTAGGTACTAGAAAATCTTCCAGTAGCTAGCTAGGTCGGACTGTACAAGTATACATACACACCTTCGCATGTCAACAATGATATATCAAATATGATGCACAACCTAATATAATGTAAGCTTGCACTATAATCCTTTACCTTCAAACAAGGAATACAACTTAGTTTCAAAATGAGTAATCCTAATGTGACTCATTTACTCACCACAACTGTATTGAGTAAGCTGGGGCGCTCTTCCATGCTCTCTCCAAGCCCAAAACCTCCAATGTAAAAACCTAAATAAAATATTACACAAGAAAAAAATGATAAGGACGTTAAAGTTTATATTATGCCTCAGATTTACTTTAAAAAAAAAAAAAACATCAATGCAAGAAATTTCCAAATGTGTAAATATTCTTATTTATTTCAACTGTAATAATAAATAAATAATAATTGATGGTTGCTATTTATATTTCTTATGCAACATCATATGAAATGATTTATTTAAAATTCTAAAACTGGATAGAAACTTTAAGACTATCAATTACCGACCGCCTAATCAGTAAATATACTTTAAATTGAACTCTAAAGTTTAGTTAAATGATGCAATTACATAGCAAAGTGTTACTAAATAGCATGCACCCATACAAACACATACTCATTTATACATAAGAACATAAGGAAAAGTAAACACAATATATAATGGGATGGACTTATCTCATCTTAGGAAAATAATCATCTTCCACCGAATTATATTTCAACAATATGAATTTCAAATGTAAGATCAAATCTGCTCATTCTTGTTAACACCATTAAAACTAGTGATATGCACAATTTTAAACTTTTAAAATAAATTGATCATCAACTGTAATAGCACCAAAATTTTTCAAAGGATTCCTCTAATTGCATGGGAAGATAAGTGTCTGATTTCAAAACATAGAGACTTTCAAATGGCATAAAATTAAATAAATTGGTAGATGATATTTAGAGGTTATTTGATAGTTTTGATTGATGAATACATGGCAAAACAAGACTTATTAAGAAAGCTTCCATAATTTATATATCATCTAATCATCCTTATTTTTGCCACATCTTGTATGAGTGATTAAATTGTTATCAAAATCTATGAAGTTCATTCCATAAGTTTAATATTGTAGAACACAATCAAAAGCACGATCTTGAACATGAAAGCCATATAAAAATGATGGATAAAAAATTAATTAGGCAAATGCAAAAAAATATCAAGGCCATGAATTTTTACATGAACATTCAAGTGAAAAGCCAATAAACAATATTTTTGGTATAAAAAAATGTAAGCAATCACTTTAACATGAACTGTTAAAACAAGTATGTAAACACTTAAAACTACCTCGCACATTTTTCTTTGCAACTTCAGTGGCACAACGTTTCCGTTCTTCTACACTAGCACCACCAACAATGGCTCCAAAAATATTACTTCCACCTGTCTAGAATATAGAAATAATGAAATAAAGAAAATGTATAAAGTTTAAAGAACATCAAGATAATGAAATATTTATATAAACTAGAGGGCAATATGAAAGGCCAAATACTACTTAAACATAGAAATTACGTTCATGAGTTCGATAATATTAAGCATATCAAGAACTATTCTACAAATCAAAATAGACTTTATAGTAAAGTCTTTATAGTAAAGTCTCTTAGGCTTCATATTTTTAAATTCAATTAACCGCAAGTATACTAAAATCATAAAGCTTGCCAAATAAGACTATTTAGCAATATAATTACTGCATAAAAGTACAACTTGTAACTTGGATGTCATGCTATTGGGATTTCTACATGGAATCAAATCTGTATTCCAAACTGTGTGAAAAAACATGACTAAGCAAATAAGAACCGCTCAGTGCCTAGAATGCCAAAGGGCAAAAACATGCCTTTATCTGATAAACATTTAGCTTAAGAAAAAAGATTCAGAAATACAGAAACTAAGAAAACAAGTTGAATAAAATGAACATTAAAAAATATCATTGAAAGGTTAGCCTCCATTTTCAGGTGTAGAACAACTCAATGTCCTTAGATTATAACGTCTCATAGCAATCAAGATTTGGGGGAATCAAGAAAATTTCCTTGTTCTCCCTATATTAACAAACAATAAACCAAAATAATATTTCACATTTCAACCAGAAATCTGATCCAGAACTCCACAGACCTTGTCCAAAGCAATACAGTCATCTAGCCACCGCACAGTCCTATCCACCGAAGCCTTATTCCTCTTCTCAGAAACCCTTGCAGGAACCTCATCAGCCAAACTAGCCCAAAAGTCGGGCTTCAAGGAGGAAATAATCTCCATATAATCAGACGGCTTAACCTGACAAAAAAAAACCCATCAATCAAACAATGTAACATTTAACGAACCGTAACCAGTATCACTACCAGCCGACGCCCTCCCGGTGTCTCAAACGATGCACCGAGCTTGTTAGCGGCAACACTCTCCGGCAAACTTTCGATAGAATCCCTTGGCGAAGCCACCAAGACACAATTTTGCAAGGCCAACATTTCATGCAGACCTCCAATGCTTGAAATAATCGATGGAGTAGGGCCGTGAATGCTGTGGATGAGAAGTCTTTATGAGCTTAGACTTAACCGAATGGTTTAGAAGAAGAAAAAAATTAAAAAGGCGTTTTTTTTTCAGGCATTTCATCGAACGATGGGAGTTTACAAGTCAATGGGGCTTATGTGCAGCGGGTGGGGGCCTGGAAATGGAAGATTGGCGACAAGGTCTCGGGAGAGGAAGGCTGGAAGGCCCTTCATGGTAGAGAGAAGGAGAGCAGGAGTCTCGACGGAAATTGGAGAGTTGCCAGCAAAGAGGGCGCCGACGCGAGCTCCGCCAATCCCGCCGCAGCGATGGTTTACTGCGAATCTCATCCTTCTCTTCAGGCTTCCGCTGGAGATTATCGGCTTCTACCTCTCAAAAATATCAATTTCTTAGCCAGCGAAGTATAAAGTGAAAGGACCGGTGAGATATTTGTGTGAGAGTCGAGCAATATATTTTGTAATTTCGTACTCATTAGGGTGTTGGATTGAATCCGAACTGACTCTGGGCTAAATGAGTTGACTCAAATTTAACCTGTTTTGCTATAAGAATCAACTTCTTGAATCCAAATCCGACCCGGTCAACATGACCCGCCAACCCGACTTTCCTTTTTGCAATTTTTTGAAATTAAAAAATAAAAATACAAAAATTGTGCAAATTCTGAAATTAAAATTGTAATGAAACAATAAAATTAAAATTTTACTAATTCTTTATACTTAAAAAAATACAATATAAATTACAAAATCATTATAACTTTTTGAAATTGAAAATACAAAAATACATTATGGACCATAGGGGAAGGCGGGAAGCCTGATTGCTACTGCTGGAGGAAATAGGAATCACGAGAATATGAGAAGTCTAGAAGACGAGAACGCCAGCGAGCTACGACTGCGGGTGAAAGTGAAACCCTAAATTCCAAAAACCTTAAAACGAGCTCAAAGGTAATCAGGCAGAGCCGCGAGAGTTTATCAAATGGAGTCGCATTTCTTCGCCAGCAAAGTATAATGTAAAAGGACCGGTGAGATATTTGTCTTAGAGTCCAGCAATATAATTGGAAAATTTACATACATACCACTTTATTTTTTTTATTTACATATCTAACACTTAAAATTTTAATTTATTTTAATTAATTTAAATATATTTTATAATTTAGTATCATCATTATCAAAATAAATCATAAATTATAGAAATCTATTTTGTTGAACTTGATTCTATTGCAATTTACACTATTTTGGCTCAGCTAATGACTTCATTATATGCATCTAAATTTAGATAGACTAAGCATTATGTTTTCGCATATTTCATCATTGATATGATTTTAGATATTAATAGGTTGTCAATATTATTTTCAATACTTCATTATTATTTTGTATGAGTAAGTAGATTTTATTTATTGTGTTCATAATAAAATATCCATGTACAAGAGATTTTTTTTCTTAATTTATAGTTCCACATGCCCCCATCCAATTTCAATGCAATTTATGGGAGAAAGAATTAATTTTCATAAACTTTCATTCTAACAAATGTAATAAATGATATCCCCAAAATATAAAATTAACATGTATAATACATTGTTGTGTTTTGAAATATTTAAGGCAGTATAAAAATATAAAGTTTAGCATCATAGCTTTGTATAAAGATCTAATACAAACAGATAAAAGACGAGTGTGCATCATGCTTAAGAGACACCAAATTTTTTACAAGGAAAACCTCCAAAAGAGAAAAGAATCACGGGGGTCTTTGTCCAGTCGAATTGATTCCACTAGTATTAGTGGTTGATTACAAATCATGTCTTTGCTCGGAGGAGGGTGTTGGCTCAATGTAGCAAATACATATTGTATATAGTACATTGCATAGTTTGAGAATAACATGTCAGTTATTCTCAAGAGAATGTTGGTTTGTTTGTTTGTTCGGTGGGACTGTAATTTAGCAACGAAGGTCAGAGGGAATGTAGTCGACAGGTGACAATGGTTGGAGAGCCGTGGTAAGCGGGCGATGGAGGTCGGAAATTGATCCGATGTGGCCTCCGAAAGAAAGTCCGACATAATTGGTCAAGTAGAGGTTTAACAGCGATAGTTTGTTGGTGCAAATTCGTCTACAATAGTGTCGAGGTAGAGCTCTAGGATTCTTCAAGCTTGAGAACTCTTCTCTTCTTCCTCCTCTCTCTCCTCCCCTTTATGTAAAGAATGAGATCCTATTTATAATTTTTATTAGTGGCATGCTCAATAAATATGAGAAGATTAGGGCAATTTTGAAATGTTCTATCGAATAACCCACATTAATCCCTTGATCACAGAGAGTTATAATGTCAAAATTGCGTGAACATGGGCTCGCTAGATTTGTCTCATTGAGCCATTCAATTCGATGATAAGCATTTCAAATTTGAATATCATTTAGTCATTAAATTAATGCTCTTAAGCTTTGAAGTATGCATTGATATTTTAATTTAAGCTCATTTGGCCTCAAATTGAACTGAATTTGATATTATTAGATTTCTCTCCTTGAGATGTTCAATTTGATTATAAGCTTGTTAGGACGAGAGTGGATAGTTTTGAATTTGATTTGGACGCTTCCAAATAAAATTTGGATCAAGATTCTTGCCTGATCAAGGCTATTTTTAGTGAAGAATCATACATATCATAAACTAATAAAAAACACACAAAAAATTATACATATTTGTAATGTTATGCAGGTCAATAAACTTTTTTTTTTGGATCTTGTCTAGCCGAACCAACAAACTCACATAATAATTACTCCATAGAAAATCATTAGATTTTTAAAACTTGTGTTTAACTTTCAGGCGCAGGGAGTTTGATAAAACTATATATATATATATTAAAAATAATGAATGACTAAAACACCATATTTTGAGATGTACGATAATAACTAATATGATTGCATATGAAAATATTTGAATGAAATTATATGAATGAAAATTTAACATACATAGTTATAAACTTATAACTGTCTTAAAAAATACAATATATTAAAAATATGATGACCTATTGGCTATGATAATCAGAGCGAGTGAGATAATCAAAGTGGAATCCGTTATAAATATAAAGGTTAAAAAAAAATGTCTTAAACAAAACCTAAAACGCAGAACCGAAACACAGTTAATAGAAAAGCTAATAAAGCAAGAGGTAAAACCCGAAGTAAGAGCAATGAAGCCTAGGTAGAAAAGTACAGATATATATTCCTTTCGCTTGTTAGAATACAAAGACAATTGAAGGAATCTTACACAAAAATCCAGTATAGTATAGCTACCCTCAAGTTCAAGGAGAATGCATATCTGACACCTGCACCTCAAAAAGGAAATTTACAGAAAATCAAATAAACATAGCACACTGAAAGTTCATTACGAATATCAAATGATTAAACATACATGACTACGCTGCACCCGAAGCTTTAAGCAAGCATGAAGAATAAATATTACTCAAGCAGAGCAGCATTGCTTCTTTGTATTATTTGCCTCTGATCCTGACACCAACACAGTCTTCCCTTCTTTGATCCCTCCGGCTGGACCAGGCCCAGGTTCTGAAGAGGCCAATGTCTTCTTACTAATGATTCTATATATTTCTCCCAAAATCATCTGGAAAGCTTTTTCCACATTTATGGCTTCGAGTGCTGAGGTTTCGATGAAAGAAAGGCCTTCCTTCTCCGCAAAGCTCTGCGCATCCTCAGAGGCCACCGCCCGAAGGTGTTTGAGGTCAGTCTTGTTGCCAACAAGCATGATTACGATGTTGGAGTCGGCGTGATCGCGAAGCTCCTTGAGCCACCGGCTGATGTTCTCAAAGCTCGTGGGCTTGGTCACATCGTAAACGAGAAGAGCGCCGAGAGCTCCCCGATAGTAGGCGCTTGTAATAGCCCGGTATCGCTCCTGTCCGGCTGTATCCCATATTTGTGCCTTAATTATTCTGCCTTCCACCTGAATAAAAGCAGACAATAAAAACACAAGAAATCTGAAGAGAGAATGCCATCATCATATATTTAACCTTATTAATTAATTTTGAAAGTAATAAGCGCGTCAATATGACTGTCAGCATTGGGGGGGAGGGTAATTTAAGCTCAGAAGAGAGCAACGAGGTTAGCTCACACAAAGGATAGAGCAACAGCCCCAAGGGGATGCGAAATGTCATTGCCACTAATCCCAAATCAACAAATCCAGCCATGGATGCATCGACCAAACTGCCATTGAATCTCAATGCAGAGCGAGAATTGGGTATTGGACCCCTCTAAGTTCAACTCCCTGGCCATTCTTTCCCTCAAGAAGTGCAAAGACCTTACAAGATCACAATAAAATACAAAGAAAAAAGTGGATGCTATTTGATGGATTAGTCATGGAAAATCTAGTGCAACTAAGGTGAAACCAAAAACCTAAACCGAAGGAGAAAATAAATATATTTGATTGGTTGGCAGTGAAAAAAAGGTGTTTTCTGAACTCAGGTGTGGACCGACCTACATAGAAGGTCAAAGAGCATCAATATCTACTTTAGTTTAAATTAGGGATATCAAAAATTGACCCAATCTGAAAAATTCAGGATTTGGGTTAACCCGTCTAACAAACAGGCTCGGATCAACCTGCCAACCAAAAAGTAGTCCAATCTAAATCCGGATCGAACCGATTTACGATTTTGCCGAAGAAGCGCTTGGTCCAATTCACGGATTTTATCGAAGAAGCGCGTGGAATTGAAAATCCCGCCATGCGATTTCATTTTATTCGCGCCTTGCGGTTCCCAGTTCGGGTCAGTGGCTCAGCGGGCGAACACAAATTGGCCAAAGCGCGCGAAAGCAAAAAAACAAGGTTACGGGCGGAGATTTACATGAATTGGCCAAATTGCGCAAAATGGGAAGACGGGGCTGCATGGCTCAACATGCAAAAGGTCAAATTTCCAAACGAGAAGAACAAATTTACAAAATTTGGCCGGAGAAACCTGTTGAATGCAAAATGGAATTAGGAAAAAGAAAAACAAGTTGGTGGGTCGTGTCAGGATGACCCGGACACCAATAGATTCAGGTTTGGGTTTATGACTCATTTTCTTAATCGAATCAGATCAGGTGATAACGGATCATTTTAGAATTAGATCCAAACTAGACCCGATAACTCATTTTGACATCCCTAATTTAAATAATAACATCAGTCTTCAACATATACTGGCAAAGTATTCCAGACAAGATAGCACGCCTTTTATGCATTTCATGCCACAAACTTCCACCCAAAAAACATCTTGATATGGAGAGAGAAGATACTCACAGGTGGCTTTAATAAACAAAGTGTCACAACCTGGAGATGCATGTCAGGTCCGCATGTCCATTTAAAGGAGATGCGGTCCTTCTAACCCATGATGAGAATATTACCTGAGGATACTGAGAAGTTCATTCAGAGCAAAAGGAATGAAATGTGCAAGCATGGAGAGGAGAGGGGATGCTCCTAGCACAATCTATTATCATGGAGAAAGCTTTAGAGCGCTCTGAAACCCTAAACTATGAGATATTGGAGTTTCCAAATATCATAAAAAAGATCCTCTCATCAACAGGAGGGGGTCAAAATGCAAGTGGCCATCTTTGATGATATCTTCAAGTATAGGCTTGATCTTCTGGATGGATCTTAAAATTTAAGTCGCTAAGGGATTGGAGGCCATTGAAAACTAAAAATGCATGCACATCTAGGCCTAAAGACTACCACATTTATGATTTTTTTTTTTTGGGCGACCCTCGCCTTAGAGGCAAAGCCAACAAGAAATCTCTTGATCTAATCCTTTCAAATGCAAAATATGAAAATAACTTGGAGTGAGAGATATTCGATCAACATGGAATTAATCCAAAAAAATAATTTTAGAAATCCTCCTAGGTGCTCTTCAACATTTTTCTAAATCAAATAGACTGATCTATCCTAATAAATTCAACAATTTAACTCCTTAATAGTACCTTCAAAGACTGGACTTCATTTTTAGTACAAATGGTACAGTCAACTTCGCAAAAACATCTACACACAAAGGAGAAGAGTAACAACAAAGCCCAAACCGTGCCTATAAGATAGGCAATGATGATGAGACAAGCAAGGTATGGAAAGAAATATACAGGAGACAACATCAAATAATGGATCTTAGATATTGAGAAGGAAGCATAATGTGGTGCGAGCATCGGTTGACAACATAACAGTGGCCCATGATAGATGCCTTGTCCTCGACCTTCTTATCCTCCTGGGCCAGCCCTCTCCCCAACAAGGCAACTATCAGAGAGGAGAAGGGGATGGATATCAAGCGCACTCGAGCATTTTCGCATCCACTACTCCAACTGCATCAACTTCATCTTGGTCTTAAATCCAGCCCGTGTCCATAATCATTACCATCTACAATGCTCTGAATGACCTCATCAACAACTTCTTCACTGACCCCTGAAGCTCTGCTATTCATTGCATATCCTTCGTAGGCTAGTCGTAACTCATGGGCCCATAAGATTGATGAAAATCAAACACAATGAAATGATAGTTGACATTATACGAGTAACTTGGGGATTAGGTACACAACCCAATCAAGTAAAAAAAAGGGTACACAACCCAAGGGTAGGAGAAAGGGAGGGAGGGAGGGAGATGCCAGAGACCTTTTCAAAAACTTAAGAAGGGTACAAGAAAGACCTTGGCATGTTGTAGTAGAGGATATTTGGTTGTTAGCACTTGAGTTTGCTTGATTGATCAAAGATAAATGCTTGTAGCATAAGACTTCCTAGAGGTGGAAAAGAGAGAAAAATATAGAGAAGGAGAGACAGAAAACAGGTATGCAAAAAGGAGAAAGAGATGGCTAGACAACATGAAGAGAGAGATTTGGAGACAACTAGAATATAATGTTTTTTGCATTCATATCATTGAAATTATCTCCCGATCATACTCTATTTATAAATAGGATTTTACATTGAAGGAAAATAAAATGAAAATAATATATATCTAAAACAAACAATAAAAATAAATATTATATCTTTCATTAAAAAAATAATCTTAATAAAATAACTATTGACTAAATATTTACTACATAATAAATCTAAATAAGGTAGTTGATCAGGCAATGACCATGTCCAAATAAGATAGGTGTGATATGCCAAATAACAGATATTGCATCAACTCTCTCAAACTACCAAAACTATTTCTTGGAGAGTTGGAAAGACAAGACCAGTGGACAAGAATGGAGGGAATATGATCGTGTACTCTCTTAATAGAATAAGAGGCAAATAAAAACATGGAGGAAGTTGACGTCCATCCTAAAGAACATTTCTACTGAGAGATACTAAACAGACAATTTATAATCAAATAGCATCAGAGCTGAAAAAAGCTAAAGATCACGCAACTAGAGAAACATGAGCAAGTTCCTATATAACTATGACAATAATGGCAGTACATCAACTTATGCTAGTAGGGAGAAAGTTGCAACTCAGAATAAAAAAATGGAGAATATGTAAGCCTCCACATATTAGATGCAGAATCAAACTCAAGTTCAAGCGCATCATCACACTCAATTTCAAGTACAATCTCTCACTCAAGCTCTTGTTTATGTGACAAATCATCATCTCAACATAGATAAAATGTAGCAGGTCTAGTAAAGCTAATGAGGTTGTAAAATTTTTATGGCTAATAAAATATGTGGAGTTTATGGAATTGAATAAATGTCATCTGCTGGATCTTGTAGGATCGGTGGATGATACAACCTAGTGTCATGATCACATGCCTAACAATAGAATGAATAATCATGCATTGATGCATATAGTCATTATATTATTTGTAACGATGGTGTTGGTTGGAAAACCTCTTGAAGAAAGAACTTTTATTGGAAGAGATTTAAATGGACATGTTGGTAGAGAGGTAGAGGATTTTAAAAGTATTCATGGTGACTATGGGCTTGGAGCAAGTAATGAAGGAGGTAAGACAATTTTAGATTTAACTTTAACTTATGATTTTGTAATTGCTAATATCTTATTAAAAAAAAAAGATGATTCTCTCATCAATTATAAGAATAAATATAGTAAAACTCAAATTGATTATTTTCTTATAAGAAAAATAGATTGTTTAGATTGCAAATATTGTAAAGTTATTCCGAGTGAAAATTTATGTGTCTAACATCGCTTTTTAGTTCTGGAATTTAAAATGAAGGGGTAAAATATGAAAACTATAGTAAAATGTTATTCTAAGATTAGATGGGAGCATTTAAAGAATACTAATAAAAATATTTTTGAAAGTAAGATTCGAGATCTTAAGATTTTGTCTGTGCATGAAGAAGCAAATGTTATGTAAAAAAAAAGTAACTAGTAATATTAAGAATGTTGCAAAAGATCTGCTTGGAGTTTTAAAAAGAAAAGCTCTTAGTAATAAAAATAGATGGTGGTTGAATCAAAATGTGCAAGAAAATATCAAAAATAAGAAACTTTGTTATAATAATTGGTTTAGACGTAAAAACTCTAAAAAACATTATAGATATATAGAGGCTCATAAGGTGTCTAAGAAAGCAATCTACGATGCTAAGAATTTAGTTTTTTATGATTTATATGAAAGATATAAGTATGAGCTAGTCAAACAAAGAGATAGGAGTCATAAGGATTCAGTTCAAGTGAAGTGCATTAAGGATGAAGAAAAAAAGTGCTTTTATTAAAATAGGATATTCAACAAAGATGGATGAAAAATTTTACTAAATTTTTCAATGAAAATTGTGAGAATACTATTGACTTTAGCGACCTTAGCACTTTAATGAAAAATAGAGATTTTTATTTTTATCGATGTATTAGTAAAACTGAAGTTAGAAAGGCTTTAAAGAAAATGAAGTGTTAAAAACTAGTGGACCTGATGATATTCCAATAAAGATGTAGAAATGCTTAGGAGATGAAAGAATTTCTTGATTTACTAAACTTTTTAATATTATTTTGAAGACAAAATATGACAGATGA